ACATTGCTCACCACTTGTGTGAAATTGATGTGACGATATGCGAGCCTCAGTAGAAATAATTTGCCTTGTGACACATCATACCGTATTATTCAATAAAAACACATGCACCCACATCCTTAACTACTTTTGCATTGGACGTCAATAAATTCCATATTGTTTAAGTACGCTCTGAAATACCTACCCAGTCAATTGTAGTAGGAAAGAGCACGAAATTTAAGAGGCTATTACTAAAAGCCGACTGCTGTTCATCATTAAAAAGCCTGATTGCAACACTATTGGATTATGTTCCTTGGTATTGCTTCAGGAGATGTTACATAACTAAACATGCAAAGTCGAGAGATATGTGTTAACTTTCAGTGCTTTCTGTTTGTACTTACCAAACCGATAGATCTATCATGATAATAATTTGGCAGACAATGTTGCTGTTATTATTTTCAGTGATACTTACAATGATGTCGGGTGAAAATGCTCATCCAGTGAGCAAGTTTTAAATAACGGTCTCGAGGCAAACGCTGGTAAAATTTTATGCATTTGCATTTAATTTATAAGCTCACAATTGCGATTGATCCGTGATGAACACACAAAACTCTGATATTCTCCAAGGTAACCCCACAGACTTCGTAGTAATGAAGCACGTCTGGTCGCGAGTGGCTTTTCATTCTTAATGTATGATCAACAAAGCGCTAACAGGACCACCTAAGATCATATGGGAATAATTTGGGATGCTTTTGAGAGAAGAGACTAAAAGAAATCATAAGAATAATGCAAATGCTAATGAAACTGACATTTGGTGGGAAGGTAACAAAGCTGGCTAACTGTAGTCAAATGAAGTAACGTCTGAACTATCATTTTGCGCTATTCACGAAAGCCTGAAGACAAGAGAACTGGTAGTTAAATTGACTAAACACTGGAGTTAAAATAATTCTACACATCCATCTACTTTACTATCCATTAAACAGCTAAATTCTCATTTGCTCTTAATGCCTCAAGGCGTCCTTGATGATTTTAAAGCGTCATAAATCCAACTCTAGCACAATAATTTCGAATCCGAAATTACGAAATTATCTACATTATTTGCCGAGGAAAACAGTGGTAAAATTAATGGCTTATTCCAGTCCCATGAATTGGTCCCAAGATCGTAATCCAAAATGATTGGTATTTTCATGTTGGTCTTGTGTTCACAGAGCATTGCAGCAAAGAAATTAGCCTTCAGGAAGGTGTTGTCTCAATGG